ATTAGCACGGAGGTCAATCATGTGGGTTAGCCCTGCCCCCCTTTACTTGAGCCACATCCTCTTTAGTAGCTCATGAACCATTTCTCGAAGACACTAGTGGGAGTTGTGTGAATACATGGACGCAAGCATATGTGCTCATAATGTTGGCAACTATCGCGAAAATTGCTCGTTTATCAAAACCCCACCAACCCTGCATTGTAGTAGATTGCGATACTGCTGAGTTTGTTCATCCATCCAACAGTGTGATTCAGAGCAAGATACTGAAGTAGTGCAGTGAAGTTTGCTGAATGTATTCATGGTCCCCAGAGGATGATTTGTTATGATTTTAGTGACCCAAGACCTTTCGTCTAGTGCCTTTTGAGTAACATGGGCCATGACAAGCTTTCTCAAGAACTAATGGTGGTCAGAATTCTATGAGATGTCTTATTCATAATCATGGGAAAAATGGGAAACCTTATACGCTATATGGCAGCAAGCTGATCCATCCCGTTGGTATTTGGAAATTTGGTAATCACTTGAGAAAGTTAAAGTGCATGCAAGAAGGATGGGTAGACATTTAGCAGTTTGTAAAATATAGTGACGGTGTACACGAAGATTGCTGTAGCAGTTGTGTCTCCTACGTACAGCACAATCCAGCAGCTTCTTCTTCAGCCGGGCTGTTTGTATTCTGATGATGAATATTTTACTGCTTTCCAAGTGCTGTTCTAAAATCAGGCCATAAATGAATATCCATAGTCAGCGTTGCTCTTGACTAGCATTGTTTTGTCTGCCAAGTCACTGAGTGCCTCCAAAAAAATACTTTTTTTTATAAAAATCAGGGAGCTTGGGATGAAAGGCAGAAACACAACAATATCCTGCAAATTTTGTCCTTTGTCTGAGAGGGATTACTCCATTAGGGAAATTTATGGAAATGCAGCCGATTTTACTTTGTTGAACTTTCATTTATGTAGCAATATCGTTTTAAAAGCTGAACAAAAGTATGCGATTTATTTGGAATTAAGATAAGCAGAGGCAGTTACGCATTTTGGATGGGTAATTTTGTGTTCACACAAAGTAGCACACCTTTTGGCACTTCCTGCCGTTGGATAACAAGGGTCACCCTCACATTATCTGCTGCCCCAGCAGCTACTACCGCACAGACGAGAGACGTGAAAATTAGGGTTCTGATGACATCGACTGGCTGAAATGCTGCACTGCTATCTATTGCTTATGGAGTCATAATCGGCCCAAATGGGATTTCTATCAATTTTTTTGTCCCCTCATGTGTGCCAGATACAATTCTTTTAATGACAATATAAACAGGACATTGTTTCTACAAAGCTCAAATCCACAGTTAATACTTTCCTTCCAGAATGTGACAGAAAGGGGAAAAGCCTCCAGGATAGTAAAAGAAGGCCCACAATCCTGCATGAAATCATGTTGAATAGCGATGCAACAAAATTGCAATGGTGAGTCCCAACAACTACATTTACATTTAAAAAGGTCGTCCTGAATTAATAATAAAAATAGTTCAATTCATTTTAAATAATGAACTAAAAAAAAAACATGCCTCTCAAGGTTTCTGTACCTTTTTGTTCTGAAAATCACTGCATACATTTCTTTTAATTAAGATGGAAAAGACGGCTTAAAGTTTGCATTAACTCAAGTGCAAAACAAAAATAAGAAGCAATAGGTACAAAGAAGGCACACAGATGGGACATTCTTGGCTGCTGTTGTGTGGTCAGTGAATTGTCTTTTTGGTTGTAATGTTTAGTGATAGAGTCCACTTTCTCCAGCTTCCTGGTAATTCATTTGTTGAAAGTCGCTCAGCGGGTTTCTCTGGAGTCATTTGACTGAAAGAGCCAAACAGTTCATAGTGCAGCTCGGTCACTTCTCCTCTACCGACGCGCATTTAGAGTCTGTGTGCGGTGGCGTCACGGGACTAGGACACTCAACAGAACTTTCACCGAGCTGACCGCTGATGGTTTCCGGTGCAAAAGTAAAAGTAATTCAGTCACTCATAATTCAGGCGAGTTGTTTGTCGCCCACTAGTCACGTGAGTTGCTATTTGTTAGTGCGTTATTTGACGTACTGGTGTGAGAATGTGTTGAAAGAGCATGAGATTTCCTTTATGTCTGAGCTGGATGATTTGATGCTGATTTCCTGCGCACATGAACGATACGATCATTTACTGATTCGACTGACATCTTATTGGACCTGATGGCTGAAATTCTGATAATATTCTACAGTTTGACGTCTCGAAACCAATCGGCTATCGGTCTGGTTACGATTCAGCCTCTGGGGGCAACGGCCAGTATTTCGGGGGATATCTGGAATATGGATCTGGGATAACAGGGCCAAGACTTCCTCTTCCATGCGCTGGTTTGTAACTTGAGAAACCAAAAATTGAACGTGAGAGACGTCTACAAAAGCAGGAATTTGACTGGCGATCTTGTCCTCCATAAATAACGATATGCATATTAAATTAATCTGCATGAGAAATAAAGAAAATCCAGACATTATCTGTCAGATAAATGACTGCTCACAAACCAGACTGGTTTGCAGGAACTGGGAACGCTGAAAACATAATGGGAGTGCAACAGATTCTGTATTCATCTGACATGTCACACTATCATCAATACCATGTCGAGCCTTGTACAGATGGTCATAAGGACCTGGATTTACAATCAAAGCTCACTGCTAAGTACTGGGGGGTAAATCTAAGCAGCCATATGGGCACAGAGAGGTCAGAGGTCACTAAGCAGCCACATCACTGCTGACCTCAGTCTGGGAGGAAGATGAACACCCCAGGTTGTCAATAAAATAGGGACCTGACAGCAGAGTTTTCAGTTTGACATGTTGGGAGAATGAACTTGTATTCCGATAAAACAAAGAGTGTTTTTTTCTTCTTGATACTCTTGTTGGTGAGATGTTAACGCATTTGCATTCTACTCTTTGTTCAGTGGGCTGTTTAACGGCGGCATTAAAAATTCAAGAAGCTGTCAAGTTCACGTTCTCCTTGTTTTTTACCATGTCCACCCTTTTCTCATTGAGTGTCTCCTGGGTTTGATTTAACACAAAAGAACTTGTCAATGTAAGGTTGTTCAACATCCCAACTCTCTCTCCAGCCTGGTCTCCTACAAATTACGCTTCTTCACTGCGAAGCTGCATTGTCTCGAAAGAAATGGGTCAAACAAAGCCATGTTGTAGCCTAATAAACATACTTATTCTCAGGCCAAACCATGATGTTCTACTAAACCTAACCAAATAGTTTAGTAGCCTTTTTGTTTTCTTTGAATTGACAATCATGTGTTTAAAACTGCGACCTTAATCTGGGAGAACACATGTTTAATTGAGAATTAACAATGAATTAAGTTTGGTTTTATGAGAATGTAGTATTCTGTAACCAAGGCTTTTCAAATCTGTTTGCGCTTTCAGCTGCTCTACCATGCAAAGATAAGGTAAATCTGACAAAATATCCATCTCAAAACATATGACATGAGAACACTCAAAGAAGTATGTCAAAATACAGGAGAGTAAAACCTTTCATTTAACCAATACCACACTACCTGTGGACGGAATAGCTCTCTTAGAAAATGTCCTTTTTTATTGTTTATAACATTGAATTGAATAATGTGGCTTTTTTAAAACACTGATCAACAACATGCAGACATGCATTTTATATTTGAGGTGGCTGGAGGTTGGATGTCATAGTATGAAGACCGTTGTGTAGGGAGGAAGTCGCGGCGGATGGATGGGTCCGAAAAACAGGACTTTCACCCAGAAGATGGGAGTTTGTGTCCAAAAACTTAAACAATTAAGTTACATTACATTACTTATTTAACGCAAGTTACTTAACTTCTTTTCGTCTGTATTTTGCAAGTGATCAGATTTGATTTGTGTGTCCAGACATCCCCAATTGTATTTGCATGGGTTGCTCTGGTAACTATGTCGTCCTCAGTAACCACAAAGCTACGCTGGTCACGCGGCTTTCCAACGACGAAGCATTCGCCCTCGAAATCTGATGCGCTGTCATTTCGCGGTGAAGAACCGCTTCGTCGCACCACACAAAGTCAGTGACAGAGGAGGCTGGTTTACCTTGAGATGTTAGGGGGAAACGGCAGAAAGCAGCAGACAATGTATCCGTCCATAGACTTGTTATACTCCTCTGTTGTCCTCCATGATTCTGCACTCTGCACTTCCAAACTTTGAAATCCAAATGACTCAGATGCATTTGTAGAAATCCGTTTGGACTTGCATTTCAAACCGCCTCCAAATGTGGTTTGGATCTGATTTGCAAAAATTCCATTTCATGTGTGTTTTGTCTCTTCAGACTTTCTCAAATCAAATCAGTCTGGATATGGCAAAAAATGGACAGGCCGAACAACCAACATTAGGTTGTGCGGCTACACCTTAACCATAGTGGTGGCAGACGAGGAATCGGCCATATGAAGCATTGTTGTAATGGTCACATGCATTGATTCATTGCGCTGACGGATGATGTTGCCCTGATAATTCTGTAAGAAATGTCATATTTGGATGTTTATCTCGGTGGATAACCACATTCCACAACCTACATTGTCGCACGCTTTTGAAAATGTTAGTGAGTCATTTCATTTGTGAGTGATTTGCAGAGCTAAAACATGCAGAAACACCTGTTTATCTCCGGATAAAAAACAAGACAGATGCGGTTTTCAGCGGTGTTGTAGTTACAGGCTTTCTAATACAAACACTGTAACACTGTTCACATTCACAGAGACATGAAACAACACTTGTGCTTTGCTGAATATTGTATTTAGAATCCTCTTTCACACACACTCCCACCCAATGGGCGGCAGCCAGGGAGGGCAGAGGGCAGATCTCTATCCTCCCCCCCATACAACTGCCAGCCCCACCCATACACCACCCTCCCCCTCGTATCCAGCCTTCCCAGCAGGGTGTTTACCCTGCCACCGACTTTATCAGTAAATAAATAATGGCAACATAAAGTGCAGTGTGGAACAGGAGCTGAGATTGGATAACAGTCGGGGAGGCGTGGCGGACTGTGAAATATTAATGATCCTGATTACTTTCTGCAGTGGTGACACGGGCTTCCTGAAATGCGTCGTGGGCTTTGTTGTGGACGAGCTGCAGACCGGAGTACAGACCTGTAGAGATCACAGGGAGACATACAAATAAAAAACATCAGCATACAAATACTACAAAATAAACTGAGTAGAGATGCAACAGATAAAGGATGGATGGATGGAAGACGCAGTTGTCTGTCCTGTTCTAATTGGCTGTCAGCTTATCGTGAATGTTCTCTTTTTTTTTATTATTTTAATGTTGCTGTCTTGAGCTATTTCTTGAAAAGTACATTTGTGAGGACCTATAATTCACAGGTCGTATTGGGTTTACTGGCAGATTTGTGCTGCAACGCATTCAGGGAGGTCATACCGTTTTTAATGACTTGACATGTTTTGGATGCTGGAGACCCGGGTTTGTGTCCCGTCATCGTTCTTCAATAAAGAAAGAAAAAAAGATTATTATGAAATGGCATAAAAGGTGACATGAAGGCTAATTCAAACAGACGGCACAGACCAAAAGGGAAAACTATTACAAACATATGAAAGGAAGGAAAAAGGTGCGTAGATTTAATATTGTGTCAGGGAAGTTAATGGGATGTCTGTATTTGTGTTCGTGTCTCCTGCGATTCGATGGAATCAACAGTTTTCAGGTGTCGCCGTTACGTCGCTGCCTTTTGGAGAGACGTTCAGGGGCTTTAAAATGAAGACTTTTTTCTCCGTTGTTGGTCGATGCTACACATACAAACGTTTTTTGTATGTGAAAAGAAACAGGGGTGGATCCCTTTAATATCAATCAAGTCAGAATGTTTCTCAAAAGTGACCTTACCTGGGAAGAACACACCACAATACATGCTTTTGAAAAGAACAGAATTTCAAACATGTGGTTCACCTGCAGGCGTCCCAGACGAGCATCCGCAGTGTATATATCACTTTAGCTGAGGGTGTTAACGCGGAGGAGGTCCCCCCTACATTTCATTGTATGTCACAAGTAGTTTTATCCTCTGTAGACCTTGTCTCGGGGGCCCCGCCGGAGCCTCCAGATGCCCAACTGAAAGGAGAAAACACAATGTGGACAAGCCCCCTGACAGAACGCAGGGGCCTCCTTCTGAATTATCACCCCGCTCCTCCTGGCTAATTAAAAATTTGCTTGTAACTTATGTCAGCCATTTGAAGGCTGACAAATCTCCAACCTCCCTTCCCCCCCCATTTTAATTTGTGGCACGTGTGCATAAATTGTTAGAGAGGAGGCGTGGCGGTGACGTAGGGCACAAACCTGATCACGTTTTTTTTTCTCCACCTTTCCCCTATAGGGGATTCTAGAGGTCCTTCACTCTGCTGAGGATGACTTGATTGATAAATGCCGGGGAGGATTTGTCAAAGAAACTAGACTGCCCCCAGTGGGATATCAATATGGTTCATTTAGACTCCCACCAGGCTCAGGCTGCCTGTAGAGAGGAGATGCTACAGAGACCAGTAGGGATCTGTGGGGTTGAGCCAGGGGCAGGGCAAATGCTGCTGCTGCTGCTCTGTGGTTGTGCTAGTGTGCTACAAGAAAAGCAAATGGCTAACTCCTGTATGGAGGGATAAACCAGCAGGGAACAGTGTGTGTGTGTGTGTGTGTGTGTGTGTGTGTGTTTGTGTGCGAGGCTAGAGTGCTCGAGAAGGGTGATCCAGGGTTCAGCATGTGATTGGCCCCGTCTCAGCTGGAGGAGCTTTTAGTTCCCATTTCCCAGCAGCCTCCAGGACAGATGCACTGCCCTGAGCCATAATCTGTGTCTCGCTCCGAATGACAAATGGCACAGTGTAGAATATTGCATTATATATTAAGTACTAGCAGTCGCTAAGTTATAGGACGCTGCTTTGCGCCCGCAGCACTTGTCGCTCACCAAGCAGACTCTGTTTTTTACAACAGTCAATTAGATCCGGACCATAACCTGCTACTAAATCCTGCCCTGCTAAGGAAACTCGTTCATCTTCGGGCTTGTTGTAAAAATAAACATGTCTGTTTAAACGCAGTCGTCTGCTTGAAAATACCTGCATGTTTCGGCTGACCTAGTTTAACAATTAACTACTTACTACATACTACTACTACTACACAACTACAGTCTAATTATTGGTAGTCATTCACGGTAACAATTGAATGTTATCAGGCCTGAAACCATAACTATAAATACTGAGGTTTGAATGAATGAATATCACATAAAAATGGATCTCACGTGATAACAGCAATGAGTACATTTAAAAGCAGCAAAGCAGTGTCTTACTTGATTTTCTTCTATTTTCTAACATCTCGCAGTGTTCATCAGCAAAGTGACCAAAGGTGAGCAGTTGAGGCATATTTATTATACAGTTTAAAGTGGCTTTGCCAACATTTAAATGTGTAACCTTTTGTTGCTTCTAACCTTCTCTGTCATCACTCATTTTAAATGTCAATGTAGCCAATCTCACAGCACAGGTACTGTCATTACATTTCTTCATAATCAAATTTCATGATAATGTTGGAAACAATCTGTACTACAAATAATAAATCATTTTCAAATTTTAGACTAATTCTAGGCATATATATATATATATATATATATATATATATATATATATATATAAAAAATACTTATAAAAACCTTTTCATATTTTTATATATTTTTTCTTTTTCTTTTGTCGTCCCTGTTTTTAGCTTAGGAGTCAAATTCTTTGTATTTGTTCACATGAGCTGATCATTAAATAATGATTTTATCCGCAGCTATGCACCATGGTAATGTCAACCTAATATATACAAGCCACTATCAAATTCCATATTTGTATTCCCTTGTGATAACAGAAGGTAAACAACCTTGAGTATTAGGCTGAATTAAAACGTAGTATAGGTGATTACAGAGAGCAGGAGGGGGTTGAAAGGAGGTTCAGCCCGTCTCCCTCTCTTATTTTTCTTTGTTTCATTTCATTTATTTATTTATGAATACATAAATAAATAAACTTGCCTTGCCTATAAGCGCAATGCACATTAATCAATATTTCTATAAATGATTCCTGTGTTAGCCAGCTGGCTAATTTTCAACTTCAGTCCTTTTGCTAGATGCTTTGAAACCAATGAATCTCTCTTTCTCTCTCTTAGCTCTGCATTGTTTACATTATATTCACTGACGGACAGAAATGGCAGCATAAAGGCATTACACCACCTTCAAACATTTACATAGAGAAACGTAGCAGCCGACTGGTGGTCAGTGAGACACTGCTACCTGTGCCTGACTGATGGGGAGTGACAATAAAAACAGATGCCAATCTGCTTAGTCACATGTTTATGGCATACATTTGGTCAACAGAGGCCCGGTAGACAGAAGCGGCGCTGGGTCTCTGCTCCCTATCGCTAACAGACTACAGCTGGGAAGAGAGCAGACGGCTGCTCGAGTTGCTAAAGCCGCAAGAACTCTCGCTCTCTTTAGTGAGTTAGCGCCCACCCTCCTCCCAGCAGCTTAGTCTCCCAGTGGCAGGAGGTGAGGTGGAGGGATTGCAGGGAGTAATTCTTGTCTCATTTGTGGTCTGATAAATAGTAAATTCATCAAATTCAAAGCCCCCATGCCATGTCACTATTTTCCAAGCTACTGTAGCCGTCACATTGGTCTTTTCCGTTCGTCATACGGAAGTGGGCGTGGTTTCATCAATCAGCCCCTTGCTTTTTTTCTCTCTTTTGTTTTGCATTTTTCAAAATGATGCAATGCGTGGACTCAGGCTCAGACCTGGTGGTGCTGGACATTGGATAGAGCCAAGTTAGCTGTTTCTTCCTGCTTCGATGCTAATCTGGGCTAACCACATCTTGGCCACCAGCCAGCTGTTTGGATCATTTCCTGTAACCAGTGTAGCATTAAAGCGTGGCGGAATTAGCAAGATAGCTAACTAGACAGATATCCACACTAATTCCGCCATGCTACACTGGTTAAAGAAAATGAGCCTAACAAAGTTGAGCAAACAATGAGCTTTCCTACGCTGGGAGAAGAGTGGGTGGATGAAGAATTAAGTTGTTAGATTTTTACTCAGTATCTCTATGCTTTGTAAAGTCACTGCTTGTCTAAGTCTTCACTGCAAAACTTCATGTCAGTAAATTAATTTATATGGACACATTTCTTTGTCACAGGGTCAAAGTTGGCCCATGGGGAGGAGTGGTTATTTTATCATCAGGCCTTAACAATTCTGCTTTGTTTGTTCAGCCTCAGCCTCTTTGATCCACCTTTGATCAAATCAACCAACCCCAATAACAATAGATGAATGCTGTATTGGTGTAGAAGGCAGCTGTCATACACTCAAAAGGCACTGTTTCTCTTTAGTACTCACATACTAAGATAAAACATTCAATCAATTATGGAAATTAAAGAAACTACATGACATTCTGGAACTGCAAAGATGACAAGTTGGTAAAATCAGAGTAAACAAAGATAAGCTGCAACCACAAATAACGTAAAAAAAAAAGGGATGAAGAGTGTCCATCCTCGTCCTGATCCCACCGTGGAAGGATGGCCTGCTTTAGAGCTCCCTTCCAAACAATTAGGCACAGTTGTTGTGACCTTAGCTGGAATGTGCACCGCAGGATTTGGGGTGGACTGACAAGCAGAGGCTTTCTCACTGAGGGTCCCAGTAGACGGATAAAGTGAGAAGAGGTGCCTGGAAAACATCTTGACCTACATGAAGGTCTCCTCTGGTCACATGCATTACAGAGCTCCTGATAGACTCATGCAGACCTCCAGAGACCCTCGGGAAGCACAACTTCTGTTCCGCCTGCAAAAATGGATCTACCTGTAAAAAAACATCTTACTCGCTCATACAAAGTATAGTGAAATATTTATCTGAGTTTTAAAGTAAAATGCATAGATATTAATTGTATAGTAATTGTCTACTATGAAATGAATCATGTATTATGTAAGATAACTTAGTTTGAAATATTAGAGTATATTTAAAACAAAAAACTAGCCCAGGCATTCTTCTCCTTGGCGACGTCCTCCTGCGCTTAATGGAAGATCCCGAGGTGTTCCCACAACAGACGGAATATGTATTCTCTCCAGCGGGTTCTCGGTCTGCCCAGAGGGGTCTTACCCTTTATGTGTGAACCCTGAAATACTTTTCTTTTCACTTGAAGGTAGCAACTCGCTTCCAAACCACAGGGAGAAATCTGAAATCAGTTTTCTAGCAGAGCATCGTGACTCTCATCTGCCGCGCAGTTGTATGCAAACCTACCCTGTGTATTGTGGAAATCACATATTGGTGAAGCCAACAGAACTACATTCCAAATGCAATCCTAAGGTCACCAAATTGGGTCCCTTCCACCAACGGCTGCGCCGGGGATGTTCTGTCCATAAGAATCACAAACTTTTTATTGTTCCATTGATTCAGCAACGGAACAATTTGTTGGCGATGTCCCGAGCCGATCTTAAGTATCAGTATCGGGGATGATCCAGTTATATTTGAATGGATCAGCTAAGATACAGCCGATTAAAATCGGATCTGATCCTTTCTTTACTTTACTGTATTCTGTCCACCTCAGCTTGCTAGTGTTCCAGCATTGCTCTTAATGACAGACAGGCTTCACAATTTGAGCATTTCACTGCATACGAGATTGAAAGTTAAGCGATTTCCTCACATGAGCAATATGACCAATGTCCAGAGAAACAGGTCCAGACATTGTTCGGAGTTGCCCTTTCACTCCTTTAGCACACATCAGGAGATTGTCCATGTCAGGCGGGTTCTCACCTTCTGAAAACACTCCCTTTGGTTTCGGCGGGGGGGATTGCATCTGGGTAGAGCGTACAGGAGGCAGGACATGACACGGGTTACACCGCGGTCGTGCAGCTGGTTTGTAATTTGGTTGTAAACAACCGAGTAACTTGCTGATTGGTTGAATTTAATTGGTCCGGAAATTTTGGTTTCAGCCCGTGCCGACAGAAGTTCTTCAAGTTTTCATGTAAATTACCCTTCTTCTTAACCCTTGGATGTTTGTATTATTCCAGTTTTGCGTCATGATAGAAATGTCATCAACACGCCCACTCGC